TCTGGCATATTGGACAAGACCTTGTAATTACATACATAGATCAAACTCACATGATATCATTTAATATTGGGCAGTTAAGATTGTGAATGATATTTACTAATAAGACCTTACATTTGCATAGCATACTACAGTTAACAAAGCACTTACACCTTAATTGTCTCATTTGATCTTAATAAAATTATTAAACTTATGTATGTGAATTAATGATAATCTTAATTCTACAGATGAGGAAATAGAGGCTTAGAAAGGTTAAAGAAAAGCTCATAAGTAGCAGAGGACAGGTTTAAACCACAGCAGCCATAGTATAGTAGAAAGAGGATTAACTTTGAATTCAAAGGATGGAGGCTCAGATTCTACCTCTGATGCTTGCTATGTGAACCTGTATGAACTTGGACAAATCTCTTAATATCTTAGTGCACCTGGTTTCTCTTCTCAAAAATTTAAGAGTTGGATTTGATGACCTTTGAGATCTCTTCTACCCCTAAATTGATGATTCGGTAGTCTTCTGATCTCTAGTCTCAGGTTTAGTCTCTACATATGGTGAAATACAGGGCAGGATCTTCTTTTGCTTCTTCCCTACTTTGTGGTTGTGGTTGTTGTTGGGTTGTTTGTTTGTTTGTTTTGTTTTGTTTTGTTTTGTTTTGGTATGGCTAGCACATATCACAATGCCTGGCACAGAATCAGTATTTACTTAATACTTGTTGATTGATTGGTTATCTAGGAAATTATAACTTTCTTCAACAGAATCCAAAGTTTAATTTATTTTTTGCTTATTGTATTAGGACAGACCTATTGGGACCCAAACTCAGAAAATTTGGATGAAACTAAAAAGATAATCAATCATTTGGTTTTCTCTGGTCTACTTTCTACACATTTTCATTCCCCAATGAATAGCTTTATATTGCAGGGTCAGACTCTTTAAAAAGGTGCAATCTTGGTTGAATTATGAGTGTAACTGACAAACTAGGTGAGGATACCAGAAAAAGTATTTTTTTTTCAGAAAATGGATTATGTTCCTAAATTAATTCATCAGTCACTGAAGTCTTGTTTCAGATTCTTTCCTTATGTTGAAACTGGTAATATATTCAATTTCCTGAAACCTTATTTATTAAGTCCCTCAATACCTATATGAGAAGAAGTAGGGTTAAAAATAGTAGAATTGGTCATGTGCCAACAACAAAGGCAAGAAAGAAAATGCATTAGGTTTTGTAGTGGTATTTGCCATAAGCAGACACTCAACAGGCAATTCCAAACAAATACATATTCATATATTCATTTATGAAACAAACATTTATTAAGCACCTATTCTGTGCTAGGACCAGGCATATAAAGATGCATGACACAGGCCTTGCCTGCATACACACACACACACACATACATACACACACATATATATGTATGTATGTATTTATGTATGTATACACACAAAAATACCAATGATGTAAAGAACAGGGAGAGAAGTACAAAGGGGGGAAGTTAGCAAAGTCTTATGAGAAATTTGACGATGGAAAGACCTTTTTTTTTTTTCAGTTTCTATTTCATTGGATCATAGCTATTGGAACTTTCTTTCTTTCTTTCTTTCTTTCTTTTTTGTGCTATTAAATTTTTCCACTTTCATGTAAAGACATGTTTTAACATTCATTTTAAAAAATGAGTTTCAAGGTTTCTTCCTCCCTCACTCACCTTCCCCTTTCCTAAGACATTAAACAATTTGATATAGATTGTAGATGTGCAGTCATGTAAAACATATTTCCATATTAGTCATGTTGTGAGAGAAGAAACAGACCAAAATAAAAAAAAAAGACAACACAAAAATAAAGTGAAAATAGTATGCTTCAATTTGAATCCAGTTCTTTCCTTGGATGTGGATAGCAAGCATTTTCCATCATAAATCCTTTGGAATTGTCTTAGATCATTGTATTTGAGAATAGCTAAGTCATTGATAGTTGATCATTGTACAATGTTGCTATCACTGTGTACAATGTTTGGGAGAGAACATTTTTAACTCGTTGGAAAGGATGAGATCAACGAATGCTTCCTGAATTAAGCCACTTGAGTTAGGCCTTGAAGGAAAAAAGGGACTTTTAGGGTGAAGAGAGTCCATTTTAGGTATGAGGAATCATGCCAGTAAAGTCATAGAAATAGGAGGGGTTAGGACAAGAATGGGGGATAAAAGTGAGTATTGCTTGGCAAGAAGGTAGAGTATTTGAAAGGAAAGAACATGAGATAAGGATGAAAAGGTGTTTTGTAGCCAAATTATTAAAGACTTGAATAGCAGAATTAGAGATTTATTATTTATTTGGGTGGAATTGAGGATCTACTAGAAGAATTTAAGTACAGGAGTGACATGATTGAAGCAGCAGATTAAGATGATTATTCAAGCAGTGGTATGAATTGGAGAAGAGAAAGACTTGAAATAGGGTCACATTTGGAATGTTGGAGGACCATTTCAGAGGCTAGTACAATAGTCTAGACAAGAATTAATGTTTGCTGCAATGAGAACTACCTTAGAATTCCAAAAATATGCAGAACTATATTAGTCAAAAAGACCTGATTTCAAATCCTTCTTCAGAGAATTACTAGCTGTGTAACCTTGGGTAAGCCATTTAACCTCTGTTTACTTCAGTTTCTTCATCTTACAAATGAGGATAATAATAGCATCTGCCTCCCGTGATTGTGGTGGTAAGGATCAAATGAGGTAATAATTGTAAGGCACTTAACATAGTGCTTGGCACAGAGTAAGTAGGCACTGTATTAATGTTAGCTATCATCATTATCATCATTATCATCATCATGTGAAATAATTAGTTCTCTATCAAAATTTGAGTTTTATTTCTTCAGAAAAATAGAATACCTTAAAATATTTGAAGTTTACTAAAGAAGCAAATATGATATTCCATGTACTTTTTAAATTTTCTCTGAATTCTATTCAAAAACACTTGAAAATACTGAACTAAAAGGTAGAGAAGTAGACTAGTATGTAGCTCAGTGTATAGTATAGTAAAATGAAATGAATACATACAGTTGTGAAAATTAGTCTTTGAGTCAATTTCCCTATCAGCAAAATATATGTAGGTATATATGTAATATATGTGTTATGTATATATACATGCACATATATGTATGTATATATATGTGCATATATATATGTATGTATGTATACATATCAATACTTGAAGACAACTAGGTGGCATAGTAGATAGAGTGTTACTCCTAGAGTCTGGAGGAACTGAATTTAAATCCACCTCAGACATTTATTAGTTGTGCCACAATGGGCAAGTCACTTAACCTCTGTTTTTCTCAGTTTCTTCAAATATAAAATGGGGATAATAATAGCACCTACCTCCTGGGATTGTTGTAAAGATCAAATGAGATATTGTAAAGTACATAGCACAGTGTCTGCCACATAATATGTGCTGTATAAATTCTTGTTAGAAGGTGTAACAGTGGCAGCAGCAGCAGTAGTAGCAGTAGTTTTAGTAGGAGAAGGAGGAGGAAAAAAAAGACCCTACATAGTTAACTATATGCAAATAAACTCCAGGCATTGTGTTTATTTGTTTGAATAACAATTGAAAATTGGATGACAGGAGGGAATAGCATTTTCCTTCTGATAAATGAGACAGACTCACAATTAAGGTAAGGTGGATCAGAGATGAAAACCAGAGAAGGGAGCTAAAACAAGGAGGGAGTTATCAATTTAGGTAGGCAAAAATTCTCAAGTTGGAGAGGTTAAGTAGAAGAAAATAGGAACCCAGGAGATATTCTTGAGAAAAAAAGTTTCAGGTATGTAGAATTTAGTCTGCACCAAAAGAGTTGCCAGCAATAAGAACAAGCCTTTTTACTAAGGCAAAGACATTTGATATGCTTCTTGCCAAGGCCTAGATGTGGATGGATAAGCACAGAGGTGAAGACTAGTGCTGACACATTCATAGAGTTGAGTATCAGAAAGCTAAGCAGTTCCTAAAAGAGATAAGGTGCGTACTTTCAATGTTTGTAACGTACTTTTTTTTTTTTGTGGTACCTCTAATGTCAGTTACAAAGTAATGTCACTTCAAGCTCAACATGGCCCCAACTTTCCTTTCCAGCCTTATTATTACTCTTCACTTAACTTGATACTTTTGTTATTTTTCAAGTGCCTAGAGAATGCCCTCTGTCTCACCTTAGCCACTTAGAATTCCATGTTTCCTTCAAGGCTCAGCTCAGCTCAAGTGCCACCTTCTTTATGAGGCCTCTCCTCGTTCCTTCTTTTGCTAATGTTTTAGTAAGGCTGCAGCCTTTTGAACTCCCCAAGAAAACTCAATGCCTTGTATTTATTTGTACATAATTAAACCGGTAGGTGTTGTTTTCCAGATAAAATCTAAGCTCTAGAAGGGCAGACTCTATTTCATTTGTGTCTTCATATTCCTAGTGCCTAATACAAAGTGTGTAAGTGCTTAATAAACCCTTGTCAATTGGTCATTATTGTTAACATCACCCAAGTAATTTAATATTCATTAATCAAATTATCATAGTACTATATATAAAAAGAAAAATATCTTGAAAACTTGTTTTTAATCTGTAACTATAGAGAAGAATTTTGTGCAAGGTTGACCTTGGATCCTTCTTAGAGTGAAACCAAAAGGCAACATGTATTGATGCAGCAAAAGCTTGATAGCATTATAAAATCATCACCTCTATCTAGAATGCCATCTTTTGGGAACAGCAATAAAAACATGATTACCATGAATATGAGAGGGCAATTTCAGTGTTGACTATTTTGAACAATTTGTGAGATATCGAGGAGATAGGTGAGAGGAAATAAATCAAGAGGCTGTGGTAATATGTTATAGATGGGGTAAAATATGCCAAAGAACCATTAAAAAAGAAAAAAAAATCAGACATTCTTTGCTAGTTCCATTAGATTGCCCTCTTTCCCTGCCACAATGAAGAGCAAGATACAAATAATTGTATTTTATGGAATTTAATTTTTGTGATATGTATGTTTTGTTTTTTCCTTGAAGGTGTAATTAGAACAGCCTTGCCAAATATGGACAGGGAGGTCAAAGAACAATATCAAGTACTCATCCAAGCCAAGGACATGGGAGGACAGCTGGGAGGACTAGCAGGAACCACCACAGTGAACATCACTCTCACTGATGTCAATGACAATCCACCTAGATTCCCCAAAAGTATGTTGTGTTCCATGGTAAAGTCAAAAGTCAATGCAATTGTTCCTAAGATCCTTCAATGTCCAATCCATGCGTACGTGTTTTTGATGAATTTGACAGTCAGGGAAAAGATGTGGATAGACAGAAAAAGTAAATGTGCCTCAGCGAGACTGACTTCATCAGACTGTAGCCTAAAACTTTTAAAGAGAAAACAAACTGCTTAAACAGATAACCATATTTTAACTGAAGGCAAAACCAGTGAGTGTTTCCTTTATTTTTGTTTAAAATCAAAAGGTATATGGTCATAGCCAGGAGTGAATTTGGTCTTGACATTTTCCTGAGTTAAAGGGAGCATTCCTGTGCAAATTGTGTTGTGATTTAAAGATTACTGATAAAGCCACATATGGCACCATGTTCATTTTACCATCTTTTCACTTAAGATGTTAAATCTGTTTCTTTCTCCCCCACCCCCACTGTAAATTTCCTTATCTATAAAATGAAGGAGATGAAGGAATGGGACTAGAAGGGCCCTTCCAGTTTTAAATCCATAATCTATAGGCCTAGTGCATATTTACTTTACCATCATGATTCATTAAAATATGAAAATTATAAGAATTTCCTAGTGAGCAACAGAATGATATTACAACACTGATATTTAAGCCACTCGATTATGACTAGATGTTTTATTATTAGGTAACCATTAACATTGCTATTTTTTTTTGAATAACAGTTTCATACTTGCATCTTTATTATATTATTTTGTTTTCTGTTGCAAATGTCACTTTCTTTGTTGTAGTACCCTACATTTTTTTGTAGCACTGCACGACTGAAACTTTTCATTATTATATCACTCCTCGTATCTCCTACAGATTTTAAGCAGGTGTTTCCAGCATTCCAGTACACAGGTGATGAATCTCTCACTTGGTACTGTCAGATGAAATGAGAGTTCATGTTGCTATGGGGAATTGGATGAAATCCTTAGATACCAGTTTTGCCTGAACATAGCTGAAATTATTGCTATTTGGCATGGCTCTTCCTATTAAATGAAATAACTTAAATAATTGGCTAAATCAGCATTTTTCCAATTAGTATCTGCCCTCAATTATTTTCTGCTTTGAGGTAACTTGTGTTAAAATATTAATAATGATAATTATAATGATAACTATGATTTATATAGCACTCTTAAGTTTTTCAGTGTTTTATATATTTTAATAATTTGATCCTCACAACAATACTGTGCTGTTATTCCCATTTTATAGAAGATGAAACTGAGGCAAAGAGAAGTTAAGTGAATTGCCCAGGGTAACACAGCTAAATGCCTGAGGCAAGATTTCTTCCTGGTTCCTAATCCTGATCTCTATTCATTGTGCCACCTAGCTGTCTTTCCTAAAAAGCCAGGACCACCTATTTTCATTATTTTTAATTTCAAAGTATAATAAAGCATTTCAAAATATAGGGAATAATAAGACAAAAAAAACTGAGGTAGGCTATTGTGCATTATCAAGTAGATAATTTGGTGTTATTAATAAGAGACATAGGGTCTTAACAGAATTCCAAAACTCAGGAATTTTGTTCCAATATGTAAAATAGTTAATTATTTTCTATATGCAAAGATAAAAATATTTAAGAAAATGAATCTTCAAGTTGGAAGGAAAACATGAATTTGATTTTTTAATGGCATTCTCTGTCAAAATTTGAGGGAATTCAATACTCTTTAAGAGCATTATATCATTTTACTTTCATTAAATATGGGATGCTTTTTTTTACTGGAAATGTACAGAATTTGTTACTCATAATAAGACTCAAGCGACACAGGGAAATGTATCATATATGCCTCTATGATTATACATACACAGTATTTTACCATTTATTGCAATTTTAGGTAACTTTTACCTATAGTTTTTTTTTGGGGGGGGAGGTTGGGGGAAAATGTGAAGGATAATCTATGTAGGGGTGAAGTAATTTCTTCTTTTAACTTAAAATAAGAAATGAGTTTCAAACTTTATATAAATTAAAAAAAAGATTCTTCCATTGGGGTTTATGTCTTTTTTGACTAGTTCTTTCTTACTAGTCTGTCATTTTAAGTTACACACTTCAGAGAAAAGGAATAAATCTGTAAACAGTGAACCAACTGCTCATTTCTGCTAAGAAGAGATTTTTAAAATATCTGGAGCAATTAAAACCACATATGTGATTTAATAAATCCCAATGAAAATAATAGTTATTTGAACAGAAAGTCAAAAAAGTAGAGAGTTCTCTCATTTTTTTTCCCCCAGCTGGTTGTATAGTGTCAGGCCTGATAAGTGAACAAGACAAATCCTTAGAACTAACCAAATAATCCTGAATATATTTTAGTTTCATCTACATATAATAAAAATTTGAGAAATATTGAATTTTTTTTGCCATATGGCTACCTTGTTAGGCCCTCTTCAGTATTCATCTATAAGGAATAGAGTGGGAACCTGTCTTTCAGCAGCCGTTGAGGCTTTCGTCTATTAATCTGACCAGAAATGAGATGTATAATTTCAAAAACTTCCCTAGGGAAGATAGATTCAAAACATTTTGTAACAATGGTAAAATAATTTTCAAGATATAACCACTGGAGGCCACAAATAACAATTTCTTGCCCTTGTCAGTGTGTTTACTTCCTAGGGGGAGCTAGATGATGCAGTGGATACAGCATTGGGCCTGTAGTGAGGAAGACCTGAATTAAAATCTGCTCTTACACACTCCCTAGCTATGTGGACTGGGGCATGTCACTTAAACCCCTGTTTGCCTCAGGTTCCTCATCTGTAAAATGGGATAAAAAATAGCACCTACCTCCCTGGGTTCTTGTGAGGATCAAATGGGAGGATATTTGTAAAGACCTTAGCATAGTGCCTTGCATATATATAGTAGGTGCTATATAAAAGTTAGTTCTCATTATTAGTCTAACAGCTGCCTATGTTTACAATAGGCACAGACTTGCTGTGGTTTCTTTCCACTGGCTAAAATGAGCGATGGCTTCCCTTTGCTTGAAATTTAAAAGGCACAGCTATCTGACAGACTGCTATAAATTATATCCTGTGATCAAGTCAATTAAGTGAACTGCTTAATTCATGCTTGGCAAAATTTTCATGTTTCTGCCTTGTAGCCCCTTTCTACTGCAGAGAAATAATATGGTAAATATGAGAGCAATTTAGAAAAAATAAAACATTGTATAATCAACAATAAATAATGGAGCTTCTAGATTTATAAGCACATGAATGGAAGATAATTATTTACTTTCCTTTTTAAAAAATGATTCTATATAAGATTTAGTCCCAAAACAGGGAATGAGTCAGTAAATATGCTTCTAATATATTTTACTCCTTTGGAAAAATTGTACCTTTCAGTAACATTTTTAAACTACATTTTGGTGTAACATAATATAAATTTCTTATTCCTTTTACATATGTTGATTTAAAATGAAAACTTTTAGTCCATGAGAAGCAGTGTGGAGTAGTAGATAGGCCATTGGACTTAGAGTCAAGAAGATAATTTCAAATCCTACCTCAGATATGTCTTAGTTATGTGATCCTGGGCAAGTCATTTAACCTGTCTATATCTCAGTTTCCTTGTCAATAAAATGAAATTGTTTGACTTATTCATAGCTCCTGAAGTCCCTCCCAGCTATAAAATCTATGACTCTATTATTTATGAAATAAAAAGTTAAAGTATCTAATATCAGGGCCTACCATGCCACCAATGAATAACTCACTAATAGACATGCTTATAACACCCAGAAAAGTGCATTCATAAAATAAAATTTGGCATGATTTATATCCATAATAAAACAAACAAGCAAAAAAACAAAAAACCAAAAAAAAAGAAAGAAAGAAACCTGACTAGAAAACAGCTAATTTGGGTAGTTGGATCATTTGAATGTATTAATTTGCATGGGCTAATTTAATTGTGACTACTCGTATTATTAGACAAGATAGACTTGCTGGATTGACTGTGACATGTTAAAAAAAAGAAAAAACCTGCTCAACTTTAGTTGTAGGTGGATAAGTAGGTAGATATTTAAGGAAATAAAGTTTTCTTTCATTTTCATTTCCCAAATGGAAAATATTTTTAACATATATAATTTATAAAATTATAGTAGAATAGAGGTATGCCAATAGAAAATATGGTTTTCCACTTTAATTATGAGGACTTTTAAGACAAGTTTGTATATTGAAACAGTTTTTTGGATTCTAGCTGTACACTTTGGCCATTAAATGAGCTATGCTGACTAAAAGACTTGCTGGGTTTTATTCTTATTCAATTTCCTTTGACTGTATACTCACATAAAGTTATTCTCATAATTGTGTTCGTACAGATATAGTCATAAGCCCACACATTACTGTAACTTGCTCTGACCTTTGTTCTTTTCTCTCCCTACCCCCCTCAGCCTTTCCAATCCCTGAGTCACTCTGTGTTTTGAGATTTGGGTAATCACACAGACTTTAAAGTAGAACAAATATTGTGAAATGAATGGCTACTAGAGGTACTTCTCTTCAGAAGAAAGAAATGGGTCCAGGTGGGGAAGAGGGTGGTGGCAGTTCTCTCAAATGTAGAAATAGCCTCAGAGAAAGATAGTGATGACATTTTGTAATACTACCAAGTCAGTACTGTAGGTAGAAATTGTAGAAAACTTATTGGACATTTGCACATTTGACCAAGTTTATGAAATATACTAAATTCATGCTAATGCTTTTTTTTCTTTTGAAGTTCAAGAATTTTTGACCATATATTTCATGTCGTTTGTTTAAAAGCTAGAGGAGAACCTTCTACTCAGCAAAACCATAGGAAAATTAAAGCTGACCACTAAAATATTAATATATGTATATATATATATATATACAGAGAATTCTTTTGAATCTAAACCTATATAATGACACTATTTATTATTACATTTATTATTATTTAGTTTAATTTAAGAAGTTATTCTTCATTGTGTTTGAGAGGATTTTTTCATATATATCAAATAGTATCTGAGTTTACATAGATACCATGTG